TTACTGAGAGAAGCGCGCAATTTCTAAACGTTGAAAATGCCGGCTTATTGTCCGTTGGACAATCAGCAAGCAGAACTTGCTATCGACGGACACTTGAAAGTATTGCTGCTCATGATTACATTCAAGATCATACTTAGGCAGTGCCAGGCTAGTTAGGACACCGTGTTTATTATGTTTTGGACTATTTGTGGGCTCCGATTTATGGTCATATATGAAACAAACTGTGCCAAAGGAACTGAATTAGAATCCATCCATACTATTGAAGTAAATGCACAGAATGCAACCAAATGGGAAAAACAGATTTTGAGCCCTCTGTGACATACAGTGGCACAAACACGACAATGATGATGATGATGAAACAAGCTAGTATACAGATGGTTGCTCCAGCCCTGTCTCGTCACCGTCACGAAGATCTTACTCTTTACATAAACCGGCCTTTACATTATTGTAAGCTTCCGCGGCTCCATTACTCTTCTCTACTGTTACACACACACACACCCACACACCCACACACACACACCCACATACACAAACACACACAGATACACACACACCCACATACACAGATACACACACACACACACACACCCACACACACAAACACACACAGATACACACACACCCACATACACAGATACACACACACACAAACATATATATATATATATACACGCGCATAAACTGTCACACAAACGAAACTATGACCTGGACGCACAGTTGACATTGTAAAATGCTATTCTGTTGCCGTTAAAAACCTTATATTCGAACGTTTGCTAGTACGAGGCCAGTCCGTCACTAACAAGTTAGCCATTCGTTGACTCCAAGTGCTGGTAATGATTGGCAATTTCTTCTTCAGTGTCGCCACACAGATACACACGCGCACACACACACACACACATACACACTCACATACACACACACACAAACCTGAACTGCACAAGTAATAGACCATATGTAAATCCTCTTTCAATAATAAAAATAACTATAGGAAAGACGGAATGTGCCAACAATAGTGAGAATACACAAGCTGAAGAAGGAACTCTGAAACTGTCAATTTGGACAATGTTTATTTTTGTCCTTCTATTTTTCTGCATTTGTCTGTGACTGCCGGCCGATCAATACGCTGTCTGTGGTTTATTTAAAAAATTATTTATATATTTAATGTTTGTACGGCCCCAGTGGGTCCCCCTCTATTTATTTATGTGACATACAGCACTTGTATATGTACCAGTATCAAATTTAATATAAAAGATAGAATATGTATACGTACAAAAGCACGTGCATACAGGACAACACTAATGCAAACGGTTGATAATTCTACTCCAACAAGCCGTGCGTGCATTGTGTGTGAAAAGTTGTCGTTGCGGTTTAACTGTGGGTTGTTTGTATCACAATTCAGAGGACGACCGCTGGAAAACAAGCTAGTCTCCTAAGGTAGGCGACGCCGTTAGGGCTAGGCATGTGGCGGGTGCGAAGTTCGTCAGCGCTACCTTACCGTCGGCTTTATGTGTGTGCGCCTTTGGGAGGAATCCTCCAGTCTATCGCTGCCACACTTGCTTGTTGTCGCTGTTGGCTAAGTCGTTTAGTGTTACCATATACGAGTTTATTCCAGTGTATAAGTTCAGGTGAAGACCCGCTATGTAATTAGGGCCGCTTTAACGGATGCACTTTATTACGTGGTGGTGTTGGCTGTTGGCACTAGTGCTGGCAACGTTGTCAATTGTCTTTTTGTGTGTGTGGGTAAACTGATTTCGTGTGGTGAAGGATTTACTAAACATTGGATTGTGTACGAAATGAGGCTGCCTTTGAAGGATTATTTTATAAACTGATCGGGCAGAAAGATATAGCTTTCTTTTGTAGGGATTTAAACGGTGCCCGCGTGACAGGACAAGGTAAAGTGATGTTGTTAGTTGTCTTATTTCTTATTTTGCCGTTTTCATAATTTACGGTTTTTACAGTTTATTGTTTGTCGTCTTAGAGGTGGACACACGATGATTGTTTTGTGTGCCTTCTACCACCATATGTGCATGTTTATGTGTGTTTGTCTGTCTGTATTGTGTGGAAAATCATGTAAGTGAGCAGGTGGTCTGGTGTGGAGTTCAAACGAATTCCTTATTTACATGATTACTAAATATTTGTTGTAATGCCACTTTTTGATGTAACACACGATTTCCGTTGTTTATGCTACTATTATATCCACTGACAACATGTAAAGTTGTAAAACACTCTTTTTCTTCTTTTTCTTCTTCTTCTTCTTCTTCTTCTTCTTCTTCTTCTTCTTCTTCTTCTTCTTCTTGTTAACATTGACGAACTGAAAGCCTCGCTGGAAAGTTCTGGTCCTTTGTGCACGTCTGGACTTTGGTCTTGTTCCAGGACTTGGGTTTTGCGTGCATATGCGTTTTACACGTCTGACTTATGTGCGGGCAGACTGTTGGTACCTCGCCTTTCAGGCAGATGCACTTCCATTTTGAAACATGTCTCTAATTAGTCACCTTGTAAGACGTGTTTATTGGGAAGGCAGTGGGCCTATCCCCCCCCCCCATGGGGTCCCAATACCGGGTGGAGGGGGCTTTGCTTATTTATTTATATATTTATTACATTATTTTTTTGGTAATTCCATCGTGTAAAGTTGTATAAAGTTTACTTGATTTATGTGAATAAATGAGTAACAGCAACCACAAACCACAGTGGGATATCACTATGTACATACTAGTCGTTCCCTTGTGGGATGCAATCTTTCGTTTTTTGAAGCCCCACCCTGGCTTTTACCGGCGGCCCTGAATATAGATAGGCCATAAATATGGCCTAACGGCTGAAAGGGGTTTCTGGGACCTCTCTACGGGTGATCCTCATCCGCATGGTGGCACTTTATGTCACCGGGTGTTTGTCGCTTATGAGATGTCCTGGTTGGGTACAGCAAGAGAGATAGATAGCATAGCACTCTGTGTTTACTGTTGGTAGAGTAGTGGCCACAATTATTCTGCGGAAGATGTAGACCCCGGGAAATCAGGTTTACCAAGTCACGGTGTGGTTTTTGTTCTGTTCTGACCTGTGTGTATTGTATTGATATGATGTGTTTATTAACACTGTTACCGGGAGAATGCCGCTAACACAAGCAATCACTGTGAATTGCTTTCATTAATCTTACCAAATCATTTGATTTGGTTAGTCGTAAAGGTCTGTTCAAAACGCTCACACAGTATTTGTTGTCCACTTATCCTTCTCAGAATTATTGAATTATTGAGTCAGCTCACACAGGCATATAGGGCACATCTAATGTTGACAGAGTTAAATTCAAAGAGTCTGTATTTGAAAATGGAGTAAAGCAAGAATTTGTACATGGTCTTACCATGTTTAGAATATACTTCTCACTGCTTTTAATATATGCCTTTCTAGAAACCCTTGTCTATCAAGCGAATGTTTTCAGCATTTTTCTTTGCTTTAGTGAAGTTTGGTCGAATTATTCCTACTAAGAAAATGGCTAAATATCTTTGACGTGCGATGGATGTGAAGAATACTTGGCAGTCCATTGCTAGACATCATCACAGCACGGAGTTAATTAAACGACCAAGTCTCACCACAGTCTTCTTAATGTTGAGTCTTTGAAAGCTCACATGGCATGGACACACTTTCAGGGCCCTAAGGACCGCCCAAGTGGTGACTTTCCAGTGGATAAATGGTGTTGAGGTTGGCTTCTACTACCGTGTACAGATGTGTACAGGCAGAAAGTCAATGATACAGATGCTGGGGTGCATTCGTGGGAACACGAGGCCATGAACCGCGTTGCATGGAGGGAAAGAATCAGGAAGGTAATCTGGATACAGGAGAAAAGGATTGCAGGTAGGTTAAGAGCTGAATGTCTGAGGAAAAAAAAGGGCTTTAAAAAAAGGTGATCGTAACAATGGTCGCTGCACACGTTCTACTTCTAACTCAAGTCTGAGTCCGAAGATTCTCAGCGCATTGCACGAACTCTGCAGCACCGGCGGGGATCCTAAAATGCTTTAGGTAGATTTTTACTCCAAATATTGTCCGTGCAGCGCTGTTAGGCTACTCTTTTCGAATTCTAAATACCAAGAGATTCTTTTACATGTGCAACAATACACACGGGCGTCTAGAAGTCTATGTAAAAAAATCCCAGCCTTCACCGGGGCCTAAACTATGGACCTCCAGCACTCGAGGCCGACGCTTTGCATCGGGACCACACAGCGTCTATAAAATTTACACAAGGATTGCTTCATGTTTGTGGTATTGCCGGCGTGTTGAGTTACACAAAGTTTTGCTTTATGTGTATGGTATTGCCGTCTTGTGAGGTGTACAAAGTTTGCTTAAAGTGTGTGGTATTGTCGCCCTGTGAGGTAGTACAAAGTTTGCTTAATGTGTGTGGTATTGCCGCCTTGTGAGGTAGTACAAAGTTTGCTTGATGTGTGTGGTATTGCCGCCTTGTGAGGTAGTACAAAGCTTGCTTGATGTATGTGGTATTGCCGCCGTGTGAGGTAGTACAGAGTTTGCTTAATGTGTGTGGTATTGCCGCCTTGTGAGGTAGTACAAAGTTTGCTTAAAGTGTGTGGTATTGTCGCCCTGTGAGGTAGTACAAAGTTTGCTTAATGTGTGTGGTATTGCCGCCTTGTGAGGTAGTACAAAGTTTGCTTGATGTGTGTGGTATTGCCGCCTTGTGAGGTAGTACAAAGCTTGCTTGATGTATGTGGTATTGCCGCCGTGTGAGGTAGTACAGAGTTTGCTTGATGTATGTGGTATTGCCGCCGTGTGAGGTAGTACAAAGTTTGCTTGATGTATGTGGTATTGCCGCCGTGTGAGGTAGTACAGAGTTTGCTTGATGTGTGTGGTATTGCCGCCGTGTGAGGTAGTACAAAGTTTGCTTGATGTGTGTGGTATTGCCGCCTTGTGAGGTAGTACAAAGTTTGCTTGATGTGTGTGGTATTGCCGCCGTGTGAGGTGGTACAAAGCTTGCTTGATGTGTGTGGTATTGCCGCTGTGCAAACTTAACACAAAGTTTGCCAATGATGTGTAGCGTTGTTTTTTAGCTGCCTGTGTTGTGTATTGTCTTCTAGCTGCCTATGTTGTGTATTGTCTTCTAGCTGCCCATGTTGTGTATTGTCTTCTAACTGCCCATGTTGTGTATTGTCTTCTAGCTGCATATGTTGTGTATTGTCCTCTAACTGCCCATGTTGTGTATTGTCTTCTAGCTGCCTATGTTGTGTATTGTCTTCTAGCTGCCCATGTTGTGTATTGTTTTCTAGCTGCCCATGTTGTGTATTGTCTTCTAGCTGCCTATGTTGTGTATTGTCTTCTAGCTGCCCATGTTGTGTATTGTTTTCTAGCTGCCCATGTTGTGTACTGTATTCTAGCTGCCCATGTTGTGTGTTGTATTCTAGCTGCCCATGTTGTGTATTGTATTCTAGCTGCTCATGTTGTGTACTGTCTTCTAGCTGCCCATGTTGTGTATTGTATTCTAGCTGCCCATGTTGTGTATTGTATTCTAGCTGCCCATGTTGTGTATTGTCTTCTAACTGCTCATGTTGTGTATTGTGTTCTAACTGCCCATCGTGGGTGACGTTTTCTAAGCTGCCCATCATGGGTGACGTTTTCTAAGCTGCCCATCATGGGTGACGTTTTCTAAGCTGCCCATCATGGGTGACGTTTTCTAAGCTGCCCATCATGGGTGACGTTTTCTAAGCTGCCCATCGTGGGTGACGTTTTCTAAGCTGCCCATCGTGGGTGACGTTTTTTAGCTGCCCATGGTGTGTAGTTTAAGAAACGGTTTTGTTTAGTCGTTCTTCACTGTATATACGCTTATTTCCCGTGCTCTAGTATCTGTGGCATTAGCATGGTAGATTCAGTACTAGAGATATCAAAACAGTTTTTCTTATTATGCTGCTTATAGTTTCATTACCATGTATGTTACTAAGTCACGCAATTTTTTCTGTTTACTTCTGATCTTGCCACACAAGTTTTACTCCACTATCTGTACACTTGTGTCCCTGCCATGCCATCGTAATGCGTCTGTAATGGGTAATTACCTCTTTATGACAGCCAGTAATTCATCGGTAATCATCGCAACGTACATCGTCACATAATGTGGCTGTTAACATTCCATATCTCAATCAGTGCATGATGTTTTTGCAGTACCCGTATTATGAAAAATGCAGTGGAAATCCCACCATTTGCCTTATGCTTGTTGTATGTTCTACTTCTTCCTTTGTGGGTTCCAATAGGTTCAGGTCTCCACGTGCACACACGACCAGGGTAGAAAGCCGTGACTATAGCGGTTCGCGTTCTGTACCGTCAACAGCTGTATTTACCTGGCAATATCGAGCAAAGACTGCTGGTGCTTCTATTCTATGGTCTGGTCCTTTCCCCTATTGAATACGCTCTGGCCATCCTCACTGTCAGTGCTACCCGGATTGAACGACTCGAGAAGGTGCAAAATGAAGCCATGCGTATTATTTTGGGATGTACAAGAGACACATCTTGTGGAGCAATGAGGTATCTACTTGACTTTCCAACAATGAACCAAAGGATCAGGATGTGGAGGGCTCGGGCATACCTCAAAATATGTGCTGATAAGAAACACCCACTGCATCAAGCGCTTTTTAGTGAAAAGGGCGACAGACTGAAGAGGGGAAAATCGTGGCTAGGTCGGGCAGAAGATGTTATTAGGCAAATATGCAGCCTAACCGACATCATACCTGGTGCAGAATGGATACCTGTGCCTCAGGCGTTTATTTGTACATTTTCCTGTATTGTCACACTCAACAGGCGATGTAGAGAAGATAATCCTGTTGCTGTTAATGCAGAGGTCAACGCTCTCATCGGTGAAAAATTCAGACGAAGCAGATGCACTAATCTATACAGACGGATCAGTTATACGCCAAAGAAGAAGCGCATGGGCATTTACAGCACGCTCAGCGGGCAGAACAGTCAAAGAAGCCAACGGCGCCTTCTCCATGACAACCAGCAGCATGACGATGGAGGTGATGGCAGTGACGCAAGCGTTTGCCTGGCTTGAAACACAAAAATACACCCTCATATGTATACTCAGTGATTCAATGAGTATGATCCGGAGGGTTCAGGCAGGTTCAGTGCGAAGACAATGGCTTGAATCAATTCAGAAGTCCACTGTGCGAGGAGTCACCTTTATTTTTGTCGATGGAAATGAAAGAGCTGACAGGTTGGCTGGATCCGCTATGACTACCGACGGTCGGCCTATGGATCATGCTGATATTATTAATGCCCTCAGAGAAATGGGAAGGATAGAGGACTTTGGTGGCAGTGAATCCACATCACTCGCCAGAATGGCAGACTTGGGAATTAAGATCGGCACAGCAAAAAACGAGACGCACACCGGACACGTCAGAAGACTTGTTAATCAACATAGAACTGGTACTATTAGCCATCGGACGTTGGGATTCATACTGAGGGGAGGATCTGAGCACCTATGGACATGTCCGGAGTGCAATGATGATAACCCAACTAACTAACTAACTAACTAACTAACTAACTAACTAACTAACTAACTAACTAACCTGGCAACCCTTCACCTCGACCGTAAAGTGTGTAAACGTGCAGTCCTGTATCTCCTGGTCCCATCTTGACGTCTCCCATACCTATAGTAACACCTACCACCATCTTGACGTCTCACTTAACTATAGCAACACAGGCGCCCATCTTGACGTCTCACATACCTATAGCAACACGAACGCCCATCTTGACGTCTCACATACCTATAGCAACACCGGTTCCCACCTTGACGTCTCACATACCTATAGCAACACGAACGCCCATCTTGACGTCTCACATACCTATAGCAACACCGACGCCCATCTTGACGTCTCACATACCTATAGCAACACTGACCCCCACCTTGACGTCTCACATACCTGTAGCAACACAGACGCCCATCTTGACGTCTCACATACCTATAGCAACACCGACGCCCATCTTGACGTCTCACTTACCTATAGCAACACGGACGACCATCTTGGCGTCTCACTTACCTATAGCAACACCGTCGCCCATCTTGACGTCTCACATACCTATAGCAACACCGACGCCCATCCTGACGTCTCACATACCTGTAGCAACACCGACGCCCATCTTGACGTCTCACATACCTATAGCAACACCGACGCCCATCCTGACGTCTCACATACCTGTAGCAACACCGACGCCCATCTTGACGTCTCACATACCTGTAGCAACACCGACCCCCACCTTGACGTCTCACATACCTATAGCAACACGAACGCCCATCTTGACGTCTCACATACCTATAGCAACACGGACGCCCATCTTGACGTCTCACATACCTATAGCAACACCGGTTCCCACCTTGACGTCTCACATACCTATAGCAACACGAACGCCCATCTTGACGTCTCACATACCTATAGCAACACCGGTTCCCACCTTGACGTCTCACATACCTATAGCAACACGAACGCCCATCTTGACGTCTCACATACCTATAGCAACACCGACGCCCATCTTGACGTCTCACATACCTATAGCAACACTGACCCCCACCTTGACGTCTCACATACCTGTAGCAACACCGACGCCCATCTTCACGTCTCACATACCTATAGCAACACTGACCCCCACCTTGACGTCTCACATACCTGTAGCAACACCGACGCCCATCTTCACGTCTCACATACCTATAGCAACACCGACCCTGGCTGATTACTTTAGCCATTTGATTAATCTGTCCTTCTGAAACTTCCCTTTTGGAAACTTCTTTGAGTCATTATATTTTACCTTCTTATTTGTTTTATGAGATGTACGATTGTTTCCTGTATGCAGGCTATTAAAGTTAGGTTTGCTCAAAAGCCTGGACTGGGAAATATATGTTTACCACTGTTGGTGGGTGTTTCGCTGTGTTAGTAGATAATACATAAATACGTTCGGATTGTTTTCTAAAATTCAATCTTACTCACCCATCTCTTCCATGTTAGAAAATTTGTAAAGTGTGGTGAGACGGGCGTGGTTTGGGGGTCCTGCCATATTGTCTAACTTAATTGGGCGTGACGGTGGCCTGAATGGGTCGGAGATCCTATCCAGTGTGTGTAGCTAGCTGCTGGTGAGAAGGTCTTCGTTAATGTGGGGCTGAGCTCTCCCACTCTCCAATGTTGTTTTTAAAGGTTTTTTTTTTTTTAGGGGGGGGGGGGTGGGGGGGGGGGGGGGGGGGGGGGGGGGGGGGGGGGGGGGGGGAGTCATGGTATTTTAACTATTAAATGTGTTTTTAAAGGACCCCCCCCCCCCCTTTCCCCTCCACCTGCCTCTGGTTATTACTTTTGTGGCTGCGCACCTGCACTACTTTGTTGACGACTTGAGAACTCTTCTTCTATTAGTTAGAATGCGTGTGCATAATTTAGCCAGGAAGTCACTATGTCCGACGTTAGCACACACTTCTCCAAGGTTCACTGCAACCCAGAATGCTCTGATACAATGATCTTGTCCTTCCACATCTGGCTAGGTTTTCCTCAGTAACTTACAGCGATGATACCGCCCAATCCTCCCCTCCACCCCCCCCCCCTTTTAACACACACCCACACGGTCAATGGATGTGCCATGAACATGCAATACCCCTTTCTTGGTCATTATACAAGCATAATAAGTGTTCCATGTACATTCCAGAAGACCTGAAAGACATATGCTATCATTATAAAAACAACAGCTCATGCAATAATGACAATCGGTTCACAGTAGGGGATATGGAACCAGGTCGCTCCTGAGACTTCTTCTTCACGTTCACCAGCTGTACACTCTGGCGTAAAGTTCTGGTTGTTCGTCCACTTCTGGACTGCAGTCCTGCTCCAGAATCTGAGTGTTGCGTGTGCATCAGTTTTACAGATCTGATTCAATTAAATGTAGACTGCTGGTTCCTTGCCTCTCAGGCAGATGCACTCCTTCAAAGGAAGCTCCCCAGTTAGTCGACTCTTACGACATGCTTTTGGGGAGGCAGTGGGTCTATTATTGTTTTCCCCACAATAGGGCCCCGGAACCCACACGGGGGACAGCTCCTGAGACTGAGGTGACACTACGCTGCAGCCGTATAAGAAATGGCTGGCAGGGAAATAACGATTTATCTTTGATACCACTGCAAACATTGTTGTCATAAATATTAGGACACGGGCAGACGACGTCTAGATCATGGGGGACTTATCAAAGCAGCGGGATTCACTACTCAGTATTTGTCTGTACCTTCATCTAACAGGTTTTAGTTGTTACCAGAACTGTAGCCTGCTATATTTAGGGTGAATGAAAAGCTTACACGAGCATAGAACACATACACATTTACTACATTTACTTGTTCTTGCATTAGGCCACTGTCATGTTTTTGTATTGCGATTCGTTCTGTGCTAAAAGTGTTACATTTCACTGATATTTAGACAGTTTAAGTGTGTTGTCTCGGTTCTGCTTTTTTTTTTTTTATCTCCTGTTTCCTGTGATACTCATATGCGTCAATGACTTTTCTTCACAAATTATCTTCTAGATATGATATTTGTGGGCCGCCTTAATTTCCTTAAATATTTTTGGCATCCAAGTTCTAATTCTGTTTTTCTCTGTCTCT